CATCAATGTTGTTTACGGTCACCGTATCCCAAAAAAGTCCGTGTTGATGATGTCCTTGAAGTGAGCTCAAGAAGGATCGTTATGTCAATGTCAAGCCGCAGACGGATTGCTTTCGACATAATGTTAAAGAATTGAGTGGTACTAGTTAAGGACATAGAAGTTGATTTATTAAATTGTCAGTAATTAAATTAAGCAACGGACGTTATATCTTAAATACGGGGATATAAATTGAGCAATAATAGGGAAACAAATTAATTATAATTTGGAGTTAAATTGGGAGTGCAATAATATTTCTCTAGTGGAATGATTTATTAATCGAGTATTGAACGGAGTGGGCTTCGCCCACACTTGGGCTCATGCTTGGGAAGCCCATATTTAACACCTCATAGGGTCTCTACTATAGCCCTATAAATAAACAAAGTCTCAAGCCTCCAAACACAAGAGATCATTATACACCACACGTTTTTTTTCTCTCCCAAGAGAGAAAAATCGATCAGTCATATATTTTCTTGTTGAGAGTTTGTGTTTGAGAGCATCGTTCAATCACTCCACAAAGATTGCTCGAAAGGTTTTTGGGTAATACAGTAGAAGATCCTTCGATCTTTTATTCGTATCCCGTCTATATATATTCGCAATCCCATAAAGTTTCTGTAACTCACAGGGTTGGCCGTTCTTCAAGAAAATCGAGAATCATGATCATCGGAGGCCGACAATCGTCATCCCGTACCCGCCGGAATTAGTCGCACCTCATCCGCGACCCGACGTCGGCCAGCCAGCCTCCTCCATCTGCCACCAGGTCCGCAACTGCGTAGCATCGTGCAGGCCCGTGCAAGACAGAGCGCACGCAGCATCCAGGGCACCAGTCGCGCCCGATTCATGTGCAGTGCCCACTACCAGCATCCATGTTCTCGCGGAGACCCGCTTCCGGTGATTCGCATCCCTGTCTAGTGACCCGCGTGCTTCTCGCTCGACTCGCAGAGCCAGAGCGTGACTCGCAACAAGATAAACGAACTTCTCGTGCCACCAGCGTCCCATCCACGGTTCCCCAGCACCAGACCCGAGTCTATCCAGCTAGCCTGACTCCAGTCTAGTCCAACTGAGTTACTAGTAACTAGAAGCGGTCCAGCATGGTAAAAAATGGTCCAGACCAGTCTAGAGGTGGTTCAACACCCGGTTCGAGCTTAAGGCGAGTCCTGAGTGGTCAGACTAACCCATCGAAGGTTCAGGACAGTCCGACAGGACCGACGAACAATCAGAGACGTGATGTCGAGGCGTAGTCCGGCAACCCGATGTACTCTGAGGTTAAGATGATCTCCAACAGCGGAAATTAGAAACTTCTCAGAGTCGGCAAATTTTAAAACTGTAAGTCCTTATCCTAGCTATAGATTCCGCTCCATTATGATTTAATTTATTAGATTCGAAGGTGCATATAAATGGCATTCCTAATAGAACCCAATAGTCTAAGAGCTACCGCATATTGGATCATCCCTTAGAATGTCGTTGAGACCTTTTCCTTTTATCTGGGGGGATCGTCCTAATTTGGCCCACACGAGTTGAATCGCAAGGTCGTCGCAGTAGGATCATCGAATAAAAGATCGATGTGAGTTAGACGGTTGAAAGCTTTCGACTTTGATCTCTCTTGTCTTAGTACTATAAGGTACAACGATAAAAAAATACAGACGAGATGCACTGATCATGCTGCAATACTACAACGATCGTACTAGAAATACAAGCAAAAGTACAGTGATTTGCATATGCAAAGTTGTAATGAAATTCCCAATAATACGAAATAGTTTTATCCAAGTGGGATACATGAAAATGTATAACTATGTCGATCTATACACATCTATGGCATATATAACTTTTTCTAAATATACATGTGTACTAATATTTTTAAAAAAATAAATAAGTTGCGATGCTTTTGTCAGGATTCTGGTGTTGACCGGGTTTGCCGTCTTCTTTTTTGTATTAGTAAGTAATGATCGACAAGTCGTTTTTGGTCGATGTCTCCTCTGTGGGATAATATTTTTCCGAATTGTCTTTCAGAGTATCTTTGCATAGATCTATCTTATTTTTGCCGATCTAGCAATTTTTGTCGGTCGTAGGGGCAACTTGTAGTCTTGGCTGACCTTGACAGTTGAGATCGATCCACAAAGGGTGATTATTCCATGGGATGTGACCCGTCCTGGCCCCCTGCAATGTAGTAACAACTCAATTTGGCAACCAAAGTGTCGGGTGGTAATGATCAAGAACGAATTAGTAGTCGCCCGACAATTATAGGACGATATTCGAGTTGACTAATTTCAAGATTTAAGGATAAGATCTGGGACTGAATCGTATGGGATATTATTATTAGAATTGTCCTTAGGCATCTCGGCTGTTTAGGAAGCCGTGGTTACTCCAGGATCGAAGAGTTCTACACCCTGACGTTCTTGTCGAGGGTGAACTAATAGATTCATATTCTTTTCGAAGATGGGCTAATGTAATTTTTGATAAAGAAATGTAGATATGGATTTTTTGTTGTGAGATGAGGAGAAATGATGATATTTAAAAACATTTGAGGAAGTTTTCATTTGGCCAGAGTAATGGGGAAAACGAATTTGGAGTGGTCGACTGGGCCGCTCTTTCTTCTAACCGATCAGGGAATAGAGAAAGAGGGTCAGTCGTACCACTCTTCTTTTAAGAGGGGTACTTTGTGTATATAGAAAGAAGGAGAGAAAGTGTTTAGGCTTGAGAAAAAATCTTAATCGGATATGATTTTTTATAGAGGTAGGTCCAGAGGTAACCCTTGATGGCCGCTCTTCCATTAGCGCCATTTTGTTGATGGTTGACCACCAACGATTATGGATGATGTGTATGAGACAGCTAAACCGGGTACTACTGGAAAGTTAAATGCGTAACTAACGGGTTAAGAAATAGGGAAATGAAAGGATCAATATTAAATACAAGGAAAACAAAAAGGTAGTGGTGTAATAAATGCTATAGGTCAGCTTAGGGGTAGGGCTGCGCTTCATGTATCCATGCACAACTCGACTTTTGAGGATGAGACGACTTGGGCGGTGGCTTTATTAGCCTTAATGGTTCTGTATCCACATGCAAGAGAGATCGTCAATCTTCTTAGGGAAGATTTAGAATGAAATCTGCATAAGGGGTTGTCTGCCGATCAAGGAGATCAAAAGATCTTGGCGGTGCTGCTTCTTGGGCCAGTTGTGCTCGGATTTGTAGGCCCAATGCTCATTTGTCTTGGTCTTAATGGGAAGGTCCGAAGTCCATATAAATTTAGGTATAACGAATGTCAATGTATAAAATGTTTCTTTAGAAAATGCCTGAAAATGCAAAATATACATCAGCGGACATTCCAAAAGATATTTTTCTTATTATTGTTGAGAAAGTGAGGAGAAAGATCCGTGAAAAGACCAAAAGTGAAAAATTTTATCTCTTAGTTGATAATGCTAAAGACATATCAAACAAAGAATAGATGGCTATTGTGTTAAGGTTTGTTGATCGCAAAAGCTTCTTAGAGGAGTGATTCTTTGATATTGTGCACATAGCTGATACCATTGTCTTGACACTTAAGAATGAAATTTCAAATATGTTTGGCCGATATGAGTTGCATATCAAATATATTCATGTTCAAGGATACAATGATGCTAGCAATATGCATGGATCGTGGAATGGTTTACAAGCTCTTTTCTTAAGAGACTCTCCACAAGCATATTATGTACGTTGTTTTACACATAGACTTCAACTGGCGTTACTGGCAACGGCTAAAAAAGAGAGGTCCATTTGGCTATTTTTTTTTTTATAAAAGTTGACTTCAATTTGTAATATCTTTAAGGCATCGCCAACATATCATAGAGAGTTACAATCCATCAAAGCTTTTGAAATTGCAAATATGGTAGCCATCAGTATTTGTGATACGTATCTAATTAATTTTTCATTCAACTTTTTAATCACAATGAATTGTAAGCACATTGAATTTTCATTTGACTTTTTTATTTATTTTACGTGAAATAGGTACATGACTTAACCGAATTGGAACTTTGCAGCGAGCTGGATAAACACGTTGGACTTCCCATTTTGAGTCCATTGGTAGTATGATAGATATATACCGTTCTGTAATTATCGTGCTCTACCATATGAAGGAGGAAACATCTTTATCGTGCTCTACCATATGAAGGAGGAAACATCTTTTAATTCTTTAGATGGGGAAGTTGCAGGTGCTTTAATTGCGATGAGATCATTTTGATTTTATACTTATCTTATTTTTTATGAACAAGATTATGGCAATCACAAATTTGCTTTATCAATCTTTGCAGGAGAAGTCTTTGGATATTGTAAATGCTTACGAACATGCAATCATTTTGTGAATAAAATGGTATTGAGATATCAGATATGAGTGCTCGTCATCAATCTTCTAGAGAGCGTTCTTGCCAACAGAAATTCTCACAACAGTTAAACATCATTATCACTATGATGTATTCAATGCGGCGATATATTTTCAATGGAAGAGCTTCATAACAGATTTAATGATGGGATTGTAGAATTTCTCCAGCCTAGCTCTGCATTGGAACCTTGAGATAACTTTAAGTTGTTCATGGCGATGATATTTATATTCTTGCAGAGAAATTCTATCCTAATGATTTTAGTGGGCAAGAGTTACATTATTTGAGGAGTCAGGTAGAGCAAGTTTGATGTTGTCCAGCATGAGAGGTTCTAAAATATTTTTACCATTTTTGATTTACGTCGGCTGTTAGTATGGAGGGAAAAGGCAAGACAATATCATTTAATTGAATTGATTCGGCTCATTTTGATGTTTCCCATTTCTACTATGGATGTGCTTTCCCGAGGTCAGTGTGGTTAGAAAGATAGGTTTGGGATTAGGAATGCTAATTCGAATCTATACCCTATTGGCCCTTGTACTATAGCCCTTAGAACTATAGATAGGAAATAGCTCATGCTAATTCGAATCAGTAGCTTGCTTGCGGAGAGGATAGCTCATGCTGGTTCGAATCAGTGCCATCTTGCACATGAAAGTAACTACGGATAACCTTTCCTCCTATCAGTCCAACCTTCTGGTATTAAAGAGAGATCAAAGACTAAATCTTGGAGCTCCTGAAGGTTCAGAGCTTCAAACCAAGGAAGGGATAAATCTCCTACTCTAGAGACAGACACGGGCTAAGGGAAATCGGTTTTTTCTTTTGATTTAGGCCTCTCAAAAGGTATTTGCTTCTTCTGTTCTTGAGAGAGGAGGTACTAGAGAACGAACACTAGCATCTGCTTTCGAAGGCAAGACTCTCTCAAAAGTTGAGGGAAGCAGTGATAAGGAAGAAAAACAGAAAAGCTTACGAGGTCAGCACGTAAAAGCTACGGGGAAGAGAAAAGCTAAGGGAACAACTCATACAGTACAGCGGTTTCGGGGGCTGAACCTGTTGGATGTCTCACACTTTTTCTTGCTTATCATGGATTCCGACTTCTATCTCGGGCCTGCCCTCTTACTTCATACATGCGGGCTTCCATGAATAGCATAAATCCCATGCGTCGTATTCCCATGGCCATTTTTTTATTGCTCAGCTCCTAGAAAAGAGGGAGATGAGTTATGTAGGTTGTAGTCGTTCAAGAAATGTATCGGTTGCTCGACCGTTGCTGGTCAAAGATTCTATGCGTGATATTGCCAGAAAACCGATGAGACTTACCAGAAGTGAAGTACAGAAGAAGAGCGCATATATATTTTGAATAAAAAACTTAAGATGAGGTCCTGTTGGACTGCCAGACGTGCAAATTTCCCTCGCTTCGTTTGTATAGTCTCACAAGCCCGGGGAAGGAGGGAAAGGAAGATAAGTACGGGAGATTTGGAAGTCGATCAAGCGAATAAAGGACCAGACCCTTTCCCTTAGTACCAATCCTACTCAAACAATGGAGGGAGGCAACATACCCATTCCTACTGAGAAACTAAGTAAGAGTCATTTTCACTCAGATGTAAAGCCCGGATAAGACAAGACTTAAGGATCTATTTCTCCTTGAGCCGAGATATTTCCATATCTTTCCTTGAAGTCTGAAATACATACAAATAAGGCATGCCGTTAGGATGAATCATCCATGAGGGGTTGAGAACCGAGGTTTGAGCTACAGCACTTCGAGATATATTTCCATATGTTGATAGATTTCGTCACCACTCGGGGAGATAGGAAGGGCTATCTTATATCAAATAAGGCCCGAGAAACTCCTGTATAGAAGAGTTCAAAAAAGAATCAGATCTCTTGTCTTAGGCCATATGTACTGAGGGTGGCGCCTCTGGGAGACATGGTCAACCGATCTTCGAGGATCTGATTGAAATTCCACTTTTTGCAGAGATAAACTTTCTTAGTCAGACTGACTTCCTTGATAGGTGAAACTTCCACGAAAGCACGGATAATAATAATCTTAATATGCAAGGACTGAGGAGCTTCGGTGTGTTCTTTGCTTCTAAATTACATCTATCCTCCGCTGCTGCTAAAGGAAATGGTTCTTAGGTCGGTGAAACTGTCCCTGTAGCTAAAGTAAAGCCAGTTCATTCATTCATGGCAATCGGTCTAGTAAGAAAGAAGTGAGCTGCCTCTCAGGCTTTATCCACTGCCCAGATCAAAGCTTCCTGGACAGTTTTTTGATGGAGAAATCATGGACATCAACAAGAACACTAAGACTCCAAGCCTGGCGGTAGGTCAATTATATCGGGTCTCGTGCGATCTCATGCGCGGCCATCATGTTGAGACACAAGGAACGCGAGGAAGAGAGCGACACGAAAAGGAAATCGCCCTCCGTACGGACTTGACAGCTTCAGCGTACAAGGACCCGGGCTGAGACTAATTATTTTCAGCAATGAAACTTCTCAAAACTCCTCTTCAAAATAAGAAGAGGAAGACTTCTTAACGGATTCTATGATTGTATACATCAAAATAGAGTTTCCCTCGCAGACCGACACAAACTCAATAATCGACGAGTCTTATAGTATGAACTATGAAGAATCAGATGGCGCAGCTTAAATAGGTAACATTTCTTTTACCTTTTTAAATAGGTGTAATGTACATGAAGAATTTTATATGCATTTGTTAATTAAAACTTATTTTTTTCTTTTTTTTTTAGTTTTACCACATAATTTAAATCATTCTTATAACAGACTGTGATATATGATTTGTTTTTCTGAGTATGCCACTGTGTACTAGTAT